AGGACACCACGGAGAAGATATAGGCAGCGCTGGTGCTGAGAACAATGAGAAGGTCCATTTCAATCACCCTGGAGAATACCATGGCCTTTAAGGCCTTCGGGTAGAAAGGCCCCGCAATCAGAACTTGGACGAGCGTCGCAAGAGCAAGAGAGGCGGAACCATAGGCTATCTCGTGCTCAGGGAGAGGAGCCCAGGCCATAACCAGTACGGGAATGGTCAACACAGCCGACAAGAGCGTCAAAAGGCCAACATGACGCACATGTTTAGCACCTGCGTTGAGAGTTTGGTCAGGTTGGGGAGGCGCCAAGTTCATCGGACTGCCCCAGCCCTTGTTTACAAGATCTCTCGCCCCGATGATCTTGGGATCGAAGTCAACCCGTATTTTCTTCCGGTCTATGGCCCTTACTCCCGTAACTCCGTCAGGCCACTTTTGGTCGACGACATCCCTAGGATCACCAACACATAGAAGATCGAGGCTCGAACCATGGCTTGTGAGCCTCTCGCATTTGAACTCGGTGGTTCTTTCAAGATGCTTCGTGACCTCAGATACCGAGAGCATGCGAAGATCGATGTCGAGTTCGGCTCTAGCAAGGACGAGACTGGTCTTGAGGTTCGAAACCCCCTGAAGAGTCGACATTGTTCTCTGGAGCTTGGTCTCGCACCCTGTACAAGTCATCCCCGTGATTGCAAGAACGACGTGCTCTTGTCCAGACATTCCACGTCGCTCGGGATCACCATCGTTGCGAGCAAGTTGTATATTGTCGTGGGAATTGGGTGCTTTCTCGTCGCCACAGCATCCGTCGGCACACGAGTCAACAGTGATACTGACAGATCCTGGCCGCCCGCAAGTGGCCTTAGAAGATGTTTTCTCCTTAGTTTTGACCCTCTTGGGGCCACAGCAAGGCTCAGCACAAGACTTGGCCTTGGACCTTGTCGACACCAATGAAGAACGAGACCCAGAGAAGGATCTAGCTGAAAGACGACTGACAGATCTCGCTCCCTTAGAACGACCCTGCGGTGCACAGCAAGATTCCTTTCCAAGAGCCAACAGAGCTCTACAAATGCATCCTATTGCGTCAAGTTGAGCTTGGTAGCGGTCATAAGCACGGCGAAGATGCGTCCGACAAGCCTTTCCACCCTGCTTTGCGACTCCTGTCTTGGCTAATGTTGGTCAGTGGAGGTAATTTACGAGCATGTCAATATTGGCAGTAGCTTACCTTGGGAGGTGTCGGAGCAAGAGCCACAATCGTCCCCGGCTTCACATTCTCTCAGGGCGATACGATCGATGCAGCTTGTAGAACAGCATGGAGCTATCTTGCCTGCGCAGCAATCGGGCTTTGGCGTGATGTCCTCCTCCAGAGGAAGCTTTTCAGAACAACAGTCACTCTTGCAGGCATCGTCGCTGGACTCAAGATCGCTAGCACAGCAGTCGTCCTTCAGAGGAGGCTTTTCAGAGCAACAAGCATCTTTACAGGCATCTTCGGCAGGCTCTGTGTCAACATCGCAACAGTCCTCCTTCTGAGGAAAGTCTTTGAGGCCAACGGCCGTGGAAGAGCAGCAGCCGGCTTTGCAATCACTCTTTCCCTGGACTTGGATGGGTTTCGAAATGGTTGATGACTCGCAGCATCCTTTTCCACAGGTGATGTCTTTGGGCGGTTGTTCAGGTGATGAGCCACAACATCCTTTGCCGCAATCATCCTCGGGTGGTTCAATCTTGGGACCACAGCATCCTTTGCCGCAATCGTCCTTGGGTGGTTCTTCAATCTTGAGACCACAGCATCCCTTCTGGCAACCCTCGCTCTGGGTGCCGACGGGGTTTGTTAGAAGTTGAACAGAGGCCTCAGTGGTAAAAGGGCTGCGTCTTTCATTGATTTCAATGCTTTGGACCTCCGCGGCCATGGTCGAGTGAACATCAACGTCCTGTTGCTGGATCTCAGTGATCTCGGTGGATGCGTTGTGGACCGCTCTGTCACTGGCGTTATCGGCGGTGCTGGCACGAGTGGACAGCGCAGGGTCGGCAGCGGGAGGAGCAGCCGATCCGCTGGTGGCTGCAGGATCCGGTGGCGGACCGCAGCAAGATGAACCGCAGGCCATTGTCGCTGAAGAGCGTTGCAAGTTACTTTGTTTCGAAAATTCAGATGAGAGACGAATGTACGAAGTAGTGAAGGAGGAAGGAAGATGGACCATGAATCTGCATTGGTGTCGCCCGTTGGGTTCATTCTGGAACTAACTTGAGGAGGGGCACCTACCCACCTAGTCCAAGCCGAAATGCGCTTAGCGCCAGTGTGAGCGAGGGAGGAACGAACGTGGGGGGCTTAAAACACGACCGGTTCCCGCGGCTGAAAATGCTGGGGAGTGCCCCCGCCGAGAACGAAAAAGGAATGACGGTGTAGGTGCGTATGAACAATTCGTTATCTGCTGGTAACAGACGCAATGATTCGGAAACGGATATCATATGCAAATATGCACTCATTAAACAAGATCTAACAGGCCCGTATGATTGTATAAGACCGGGTGCCACACAATCCAAAAAGCAGGGGTAGCCTACCTATTTCCCGCCACCGTTTGCGTCCCGCAAGTGTTTCATGCCGCTCACAAGTGCATCGGCAAACACAGCTCGTGTCGCTTCTCTCTCCACCGAGAGCAACGTCTGGATCGTGCACCCTCGTGGAGACGAGATATTCTCCCTCAGCACAGCCGGGTGATGTCCATTTTGCAGCATCGTCCCAAGGCCAATGACTCCCTGAACAGCCAGGTCCAAAGCCTCCCCTCTCTTCAGCCCTTCGACCACAGCCCCATCAAGAATTCCGTCCAGGGGGACCGAGAGTGTAGCCAGGCAAGTCGTGACCAAGACGGATCCAGCGTCGGTCAGTGCAGGACTCATGAACTTGACCTTGCCAACCTGGCTGAACGTCCATTCCAGTAATTCGTGCATGTCTGGGGGAAGGGCCGGCATCGACTCCTCTAGAATAGTCATCGACTGGCCATATCGCGCAGCCAGGTTGGGTATCGCCTTTGCGATGTACGGCCTATTAACCTCGTCCACCTTTCCCCATATTGCAGCATCCTCAAACATGACTTTACGAATGTCGCTAACGGAAAGCCCTGCCAACAAACTGATGACGAGCTTCCCAGCAGCAGCTTCGCGCATCCAGGGCGTTTGAAGGACCTCTTTCGCCATATATGGTTTGACGCCAAGCACGATAACGTCGGCTTCCCTGAAAGCCATCTCGTTGCTCTGATACCAAAGGTCCAAAGTATGAGACACGACGCGTCTGTGTCGCCCAAGCCCTTCCTTGAGAGCCACAGCAGACGTTTTCGTATTTGTGCATGCAATGAACCGAGTGAACCGAGAAGATGTAGGAGACTTTGAGTCTTCCGGGTAGATGGTGTCCAATAGCCCATGCAGGACTGCCGCGCCCATATTGCCTATTTGCTCATGAATAAGCATTCGTCTTGGCAATTTTTCGGGGTCATATCTTACCGCAGCCGACAAAGGCTATCGTAAGCCCGGCGTTCTTCATTTTTGGGGAGTGATGTGTGAGCTTGACTTAGAGAGTGAGGGCTCGATTGTGGTGGTTTTCAGTGGTTTTCGACCCCGCACCTCATCGACGAATAAATGAGGCGCCAAGGTCTGTGCTAAAATGGATGATATCGGAGGCTTGACTGGTCTCCATGTCTTTTCTTTTGATTCACGTTAAGGAAATAAAGTTAGGACGCGATATGTGCATTCGTACTTAGATATATAATTTACACTTAGCCATTTCCATCCTCAGCCCAACTTGGTAATACACGTCTCAAATGACTTCATGGTTTTTTCCAAGCTGTCTTGCCCCGTTCCATTGCAACTTGGCACATTACTCAAGATTCCAGTTCCAAAATCTTGAATGCCGTCCTTGGCAGTGCCCATGATACCACTTAAGGCGCCGCCAAAAGGAATACCAGAGAAAGTGTCGGCCTTGTCAGTAATAGTATCCGTGACATTGGAAATCTCTCCAAGGAACTAGCAAAAGCGTTATTAATATTACTATTTTTAATACAGGGTGGCGCATTACCTTGTCCAAGCCGTTGCAAATGTCGCTTTCGTCAACATCCCCTTCAGAGCTCGTAGTTATACCACCTCCAATCTCGCTGGAAATTTCAGTAATGTTGGAGACAATTTGGGTAATGTCATCGATAATTTCCTAGGCTTATGGTTAGCTCCGAATCACGTTTCTATCTACAGTCGTAATATTGCAATCATACTGGAGCAGAAGTGAGGATCGTCGTCAAGTCGAGATTGTCAACGAGGCCGTACACCTCAATAGCTAAAGCTGCAACATCTTGCAAATTACTCAGGATTTCTGTCAGAGAAATTTCAGCATGAATAGAGGAGAGAGCCAATAAGATGGTGACTGCAACAAGGCTGAGCTGCATATTAATGCCTGGGAATGTAGTAAGTAGGTGGTGATATGAGCAATCTGTTTTGTTCGATGCGAAGTCGAGCACAATGCAGTAAAATGAGGATTTGTTTATGGACATGACATGGGCTCTTATCTATAGCTATATATACTTGGGTTAGGATGCACAGAGTCCATGGACCATTTTCGTCACTTGGAATATTGGGAATGAATCCCTCCGCGTAATCACCTTCCATCTTCAGAACCCTCTGTGAGGACCGTATGTCCTCTGAATTGAATAGATTGTCTGATTCACAGGGGCTGTGACTTGGGCATCCAACCATGCTCCATGGAGAACGTTATACATGCCGACCTCAAACAATAACAGGTCTAATAATGTTTGGCTCACAAGCGGAAGAAACATGTTTGAGCGTCTCCAAGGGACTGTTTCGCTTGTCTGTTTAGGATTCCGCTAGGTAGTTTCATCCCCCATAGCTCGGCCACCCTATCGCATTAACATTGTCAATGCCACGTTCATGCACCTCGAAAGACAGACGGCAAAAAGAAGGACATCCATTCAAATCCAGATATTTGATCCCGTCAGAGAACAACAAAAAGAATTGGACAAACGGGGAATCGAACCCCGGACCGCTCACAAGCTGTTCAGAAGAACCATGCTAAGCGAGAATTATACCACTAAACCATTCGCCCGGTTGATACAGTAGACGGTGACAAATGTGGGCCATCGACCCTGTGCGAAGATTGGATGGCGCCTGCCACCATAATCTGGCAGTCTTGAGAAGGAGGCATTACATTTCATTGCTGGCGAATGCTACCAGTGGCTTCCCCAAGCAGAAGACGATGCTTTCGAATCGACTCATGAATGCACTCAATATTGTATAGATGCACGAAACGGTAGTGTAATTAAGAGACTGACGGCGCACTCACTGGGTATCTACACCAGCAATTGCCTGGTCCGAGTCGTCGCTTGGTAGATTTTCATCCCGTCGCATAATCAACTCTTTGAGACGCCGTCGATTATTCCTCCATGTGAAGAGGTCTTCGACTTGTTGATTCTTTATCGACGGAGTCACTTGATGCCCGCTCTCATCCTTGAGAAAATCGGGTATGTCCTCTTCCTGTTTTGCATCTGCTCCGCTTGAGTTTTGTGGCCCATCGCCGACGTGCCATGCGAATGGCACCAAATGAGCCTCTTCTATGTGCGCCTTGAATTCTTCGTCATTGTCAAAACTGCGAGGTGCATCCTTTTTGGCGCAGCTTGCCCAGCCGCACGTAGCATCGTAGCCGTGGACGATGTAGACATGGCGTCGCAGAGTATCCAAATTGTGCAGTTCCGCCTTGCACCCTTGCCACTCGCACAGAAACGCGATGAATGGTGCCTTTAGTTTGCGGTATAGTTCCTCAGGTTGCGGTGATGGCGCCTTTGGTGGCCGTCCTCGGCGCTTTGGAAATCCGTTGGGATGAGGCCTTGGCTTGACTGGTCTGGTTTGACGCGACGACGCAGCTGTCGCGGGCAATGTTCGTGGCTGGACATTGTATGGTCTCGTTGGCCTCCACCCTTTGGGTCTGCCACGGCCGCGATAGGTCCCTGATGATGCGCCACCCTGGTTGCTCGGACTGAGATTTGCCAGCGCGCCGACTTCCGAGGGACCTGATGGCAATTTCAAGTGTGCTCCCGAAGGGGTCAGGCCCGAAACTACGGGCCGGCGCACCTCTTTGTGGTTGACTTCCGTTCCGAATTGCCTAGGTCTCTCCGGTGATGCGCCTAAAACGACAACAATTCTCGACGCTCCAGAAGGGCTCAGCGCGGTGCTCAGGGGGTTGTCCTGGGCGACCTGACCCTTGGCTGGACTTTGGCTCCTCGTCGAAGGCTGGGTTGCCAATGGGTCCTCGGAGCTGATACTGCCAGTGTCGCGGTCATACTGAGTGAGATGCGCTGGTAAGAAGATCTGTCTGGATGATTGGAGAGGCGCGTTGTCATGTCCGGCGCGATTCGGGTCCATCTTGCGCGTCAATGGCCAGCTGTTGCACCTGTGCCAAAAGTTTCCTAAAAGAGCGTCTTCAAGATAAACAATGAGGGTTTTCGTCAAGGAAATTGCCTGGAGGGGGATATTTCTCTGGAATGAATGCGATTTTGAGCCGCTCTCAATCGTAGGCACAAGCAAGATGTGAGAGTTGCTTGTTTTGCCGCGTCAGCACGTGACACGTATTTGCACTATTTCAGAGTATCCGCGGCCGCGCAAGAAAAGTGAGTTTTCAAAGAATTTGAAATTTGAGTTGACATTGAGTCTCTAATTTAGGTAGATCTGATATCTAGGTATCTAATGAAGTGATTCAGTTTACTCGCTAACCATGCACACCTGCCTCAGACTCCCTTGAAACAGTTTTCGCTCTTGATATAATATCCTCCCAAATCGGGGGCCTGCACCGTTGATCCCTTCTAGCAGCCTCTGCCTCAGCGCCAAATTCCAAAAGCGCATCCTCGCTGCACCACTCTCCCGTAGCCATCAAACCAATGGGTATCTTTCCTTCTGTATTTTCATCTGCCACTTCGCCTGCCCTGTCTTGCCCCTCTGGAATCACAAATCCAGCAGGGACGGAAATCGATGGTAGCCCGCAAAGGTTAGCCAACCATACGTAGGTCATGCTCTCTAGCGTCATATTGCCGTCGAGAAGACCGTGTTGTAGTTCAGCACTGCCACCGCGGATCGGTGAGCCTGCACAGGCCGCGGTAGGTGTGATGATGAGCATGCCAGGGTGGGCACGCCACAAATGGGATAGATGCTGCATGAGCAGCTGTCTTAGCTTCTGTGCGAGGAGATAATCTCTGGCTGGCGTTGTCCGTCCAAGAGCCAGCAAGATCTTGTTTGCAGCAGAAACCTTGCTCGTATCGGGGAGAAGGCTGGCTGCATCTGTAAGCACAGTCATTGCATGCGCTGCTTGACCTTCGAGTGTAAATGGAATGTTGATGGAGACAACGCTATAACCGTATTCCGAACAGAGCTTTCCGACCATGTCTTTAACAACGCTCTGTACGCCAAGCCTGGCGCATGAAAACCACTTATCGTCTATTCCCAGTAGCTTAGTTAGGGGTTTCGAGGGTTGGCGACATAGTGGCGGGAACCGAGAAGAGGGATGAGGTTCGGCGATGACCTTGTATACGGCGGCGAGAGAGTACATGTCGGATGCCATGGGCCCTTGAACGCAGCAAGTTGGGGCACAGTTTGGTGTCGGGTACGAGGAAAGGCGTGCGTGCGTTGGCTTCAGTCCAAAAATGGAACAATAGGCTGCTGGAATTCGAATGCTTCCACCAGCGTCACCTCCCAGGGCAATTGGAACCAAGCCCGCTCCAACTGCATAGCCAGGGCCGGAAGAGCTGCCGCCTGGGTAGTAAGCTGGGTTGAAGGGGTTGAGAGGTGTGCCATGGTGAGGGTTGCATCCAGTGGTGTCTTGAGTCAAGTTAGTAAAGTAAGTCTGATATGGCCGAACAGATGCCTCAAGTATTGACTCACCCATACCAAACTCATGCATGGTGAGCTTCCCTAGAATTACAACACCTGCTTCCTCCAGCTTCCGAATAGAATAGTTGGTTACTGAGCCACTCTTGACTGACTTGCCAGAATAGTTTCGTAGAGACCCCATTGTCATTGTGTATCCATCCAGGTCAAAGTCGTCCTTGACACCAGCGGGAACACCATCCAAGACGCCAAGTGATCGACCTTCCCGGTAACGTATCGTGGATTCTTCGGCGGCCTTGAGAACGAGGTCGACTCTTGTGCTGAGCCATGCCGAAGCGTGGTTTCCAGAAGGGGACACATCGCGACGAATCAAAGGGAGGAGGGCCTTGGCCACATCGGTTGGAGTAGCCTGACCCGATAGGTATAGTTTGTGATAATCGGCCACTGAATAGTATTGAGATTGTGGCAGGGGTTTCGAGAAGTTGTGGTGTGAGGGTGGAGGAGTTGGAGGCCGGGATGAAGGTTCAGGTTGATTGAAGGTGGAATCCTGTGGTATGGGGATGACGGCTGGGTCGTATCGGGCCTCGTAACACTCCAGCAACCCCTGAATATTTCGTAGGGCATCGAAGCCAGCATCGCGCCAGACCAACTCCCGGATGAATCGAACCGACTCTATTCTTCGCTCGAGTTAGGTGAGTTTAGGTAAGAGTCGGGTGTGGCACTTACAGAAAGGCGACAAAGACAAGAATAGGCCCTCTCAATACAGGGCTTACTGGTCGTTTCTTGGGTAATAGGTCGTCGGGACTGGTCCTTGTCAGTGGCGAATCAAGACATGGGTGGAGTTGAATGTTATCAACCTTTGTTGTGGTTCTGGGTAGTTGGAAAACATCTGCTGCTCCATCGAAAGGGGCGAATGTGGTACTGTTTCCATTATGGTGAAGGATTGTGTATGCGAGGTAGAGGAGTAAGTAAAAGGAGATATAAGTTGTCACTTGTTCAACGCAGCCAGCTGTGTTGTCAATGGAAAAGATGATTCGGTCGAATAGCAGAAATAATACCCTCTTGGTTATGTCAAAGTGTCGATGAAAGTGTCTTGAGCTTCTCGAAGACGGTGCCGATCATTACTTATTATAATAACAACAACGGTTCAGGTCAGCGTTTTGGACTCATCGGTATTGGCGAGCCGCTGACATGGTAACGTTCGCTCCTTTCGGAACGAGAGAGCCAATAGTGAAGGCCAAAGGAACCAAACGAAACGGACAGCAGATAAAAAGGGCATAGCCGGTGGACCTCAACTGCATCTATGGCTGCTGAATACCAAATTCCCGGGACTTGGTCGCCAGCCTGTGGACCGCGGCAGGGCACAGTGGAACGCGAGGCCTTGAGCGAAGGCATTGCATGGCGTGCGAGTTCAAATTAGGAAACGAGGCGTCCTTTCCATTCGCAGACTCGGAAGTGCTGCTGCATTGTTAGATGGTAGCTGGAAAAACGCACCTTGTTGTGCGGACAGGGCGCTATTGAAGTCCACGTCGTCGACAGTCGGCGTTTCCGGACCCAGAAACGAGACGCTATTGAAGGATCCCAAGATTCTAGCGCTAGTCTTGTTTTCTCAGCCGCGCTAATCGAAGTGACTATGCTAGACTTGTCGATCTGATGGAGCCAAGCTGCTGGAAGTCGTGATGGTTGCAAAGGTTTGTTTTGTGAAGAGGTTATCGCGGCGTGGATGATATACTAGAGGGGTAGTCGATTGATTAATTGAATTGACAGGCGATCTTGTTGCATCCAAATGCTCACTATTGTCAGAGCTGACCGAGTCTTGTATCCAGCACTCATCCACCCATTGTGTTCTGATCGCTGCTCTGATTATTTAGACAACAACTTCCAAGTCGTCTTTTGCTCACGACTCTCACATGGTGAAACACACACATCTCCATCGTCCAACCCCTCGAGTCCCCTGCAACTGGAGGCCGTCTGCCATGTTGGGTTGCAACCTGTCTCGTCTAACTAGTGTCTTGGTACAATAAATAGTCTGCTGCTATTGCCTGGCGGTGTGCGGTAGGCTTGTAATAGCGTCCTGCTCTCCGTGCCCACCCAAAATCGTTCCACCAGCACGTCGAGTTTCTGCACCAAAGAAGAAACCCTTTCGCCAGGTCGGGGGCAAACGAAAGCAAATAAACTAAGAGACTGCCTTGTCCCTACTCAGCAGTCGAGGCTTTCAGGGTTCAACCTGCA